TTTCTCGAGGGACGTGACAAATTAATTGTGGGTGTGATTTATAGGCCCCCAAACCTTGATAGGGAGGGCAGTAAGCTGTTATGGGACGAAATTCATAAGGCATCTAGATATGAAAATGTTGTGATAATGGGAGATTTTAACTTTAGACAAATTGATTGGAACAATATGACAGGAAATCTTGAGTCTAGTGACTTTCTTGATACGGTTCAGGATTGCTTTTTAGAACAGTTTGTGACAGAACCAACTAGAGGAAACAATCTGCTTGACTTGGTTCTTGCCAACAAAGATTCACTAATTAATAATCTTGAGCTTGAGCTTGGGGAAAGTGATCACAAATCACTTAGTTTCAATATATCAAGGAATTACCTAGATAACTGCAATCAAATCTCTGTCCCAGATTTTAGCTTGGCCGACTTCATGGGACTGAAAAATTACTTGGGTGGGCTAAATTGGGATGTCCTGACTATGGGTCAGGTAGGTGATCTTGGTTGCCAATATGACGTTTTTCAGAGCATAGTACTAGCTGCCCAGACAACTTTTGTTCCAAGTAGGGAAATTAGATCTAACAAAAATGATCCCAAATGGATGAACAATAGATTAAAACATCTCATTGGTCAAAAGAGAGGCATATATAGGCGTATCAAAAGAGGGGATGGGCAGTTAAGAAATCAGTATATTCAATTAAAGAGAGAAATAAAAAAAGGAATAAGAAAAGCAAAAAGGGATTATGAAGCTAAGGTCGCAAGGGATTCAAAGACTAACCCAAAAGGATTCTTTCAGGTATACAGAAGTAAGATTAGGGACAAGATTGGCCCACTTAAGAGTAACTCTGGTCAGATCACTGACAGTGATAAGAATATGTGTGAAATTCTAAATACCTACTTCCTCTCAGTTTTCACCCAGGAAAATACTAGCGATATTCCTGAAATAATAGATTATGTAGAACAGGATGATAAACTATGTATGATTGCGGTAACTAGTGACATGGTCCTCAGACAAATAGAGAAACTGAAACCTAACAAATCCTCAGGTCCTGATGAACTGTTTGCAAGGGTGTTAAAGGAATATAAAGAGGAACTTAGCATACCTTTGGCTAATCTTTTTAACATGTCACTACAAACTGGCATAGTGCCTGATAAGTGGAAAATGGCAAATGTAATACCTATTTACAAGGCAGGTGACAGGTCCTTGGCTTCGAACTATAGACCAATAAGCCTTACCTCCATAGTGGGAAAATTTATGGAATCAATTGCAGAAGCAATTCGTAGCCATCTTGACAGGCACAGATTGATTAATGAATCTCAACACGATTTTACAAAGGGGCATTCCTGTCTTACGAATTTACTTTTTTCACTAAGGTGTTTGAGGAAGTAGATCATGGTAATGAATATGATATTGTGTATATGGACTTCAGTAAGGCTTTCGATAGAGTTCCACACTAGAGGCTATTGAGGAAGCTTAGGGCACACGGAATAGGAGGAGAAATTTTTTCCTGGGTAGAGGAATGGCTGACAAATAGACAGCAGAGAGTTTGCATAAATGGGGAGAAATCAGAATGGGGGCACGTCACAAGCGGTGTTCCTCAGGAGTCAGTGTTGGGCCCGTTGTTGTTCACAATTTACGTAAACGACATAGATGAGGGAATAAATAGCGACATAAGCAAATTTGCTGATGACACCAAAATAGGCCGTCCAATTCATTCTAATGAGGATATTAGAGCACTCCAGGATGATTTGAATAGACTGACGCAATGGTCGGAGAAGTGGCAGATGCAGTTTAATATTGACAAATGCAAAGTTCTAAATGTTGGACAGTTAAATAACCATGCTACATATAAACTAAATAATGTAGATCTTAATACTACAGATTGTGAAAAGGATTTAGGAGTTCTGGTTAGCAGTAACCTAAAACCAAGACAACAGTGCATTAGTGTTCGCAATAAAGCTAACAGAACTCTTGGCTTCATATCTAGAAGTATAAATAATAGAAGTCCTCAGGTCGTTCTTCAACTCTATATATCGTTGGTTAGGCCTCATTTAGACTATGCTGCTCAGTTCTGGTCACCGTATTACAGAATGGATATAAATGCTCTGGAAAACGTACAAAGGAGGATGACAAAGTTGATCCCATGTATCAGAAATCTTCCCTGTGAGGATAGACTGAGGGCCTTGAATCTGCACTCTCTCAAAAGGCATAGAATTAGGGGATATGATCGAGGTGTATAAATGGAAAACAGGAATAAATAAAGGGGATGTAAATAGTGTGCTGAAAATTTCCAGCCATGACAGGACTCGCAGCAATGGTTTCAAGTTGGAAAAATTCAGATTCAGGAAGGATATAGGAAAGCACTGGTTTGGTAATAGAGTTGTGAATGAGTGGAACAAACTCCCGAGTACAGTTATTGAGGCTAAAACGTTGTGTAGTTTTAAAAATAGGTTAGATAAATACATGAGTGGTTGTGGGTGGGTGTGAGTTGACCTGACTAGCTTGTGCTGCTGGGTCTGGTGCAGTGCTTCATCCTTGAGTGGAGATGACCAGACTAGGTGGGTCATTGGGAAAATCCGGGGGTTGGCTCATTGGTCTAATCCAGGGAGGAAACATGGACCTGCTCCACTTGGTTCAGTAGGCCTGTTGCAGTGTTCTTTCTTTCTTATGTTCTTATACACAACTATTGGCAGAAAGGTAGGCTGGTGCAAGTATGAGTAGTGGGGGGGGGGGGGTTGAAGAGGGTTGGAATAGTTTTAAAAATGCAGTATTAGAATGTGTGGCAGAAATTTGTGGTTATAGGAGGGTGGGTGCAGAAGGAAAGAGGAGTGATTGGTGGAATAAAGAAGTAAAGGGTGTGATAAGAGAAAAAGGTAGCTTATGAGAGGTTTTTACAAAGCAGAAAAAATTTGGAGTTAAACAAGTTAAGAAAGCCTAAGGAATGAATGGATTTGTCAGTTAAAAACAGAGTAGGGGAGATAGCAGATGGGAAGATGGAGGTATTGGGTAGATGGTGAGAATATTCTGAGGGACTTTTAAATGTCGAAGAAAGGGAAGTGGTAATTTCATGCACTGGCCAGAGAGGTATACCATCTTTTAGGAGTGAAGAACAGCAGGATGCGAGTGAGGGGGAGGTGCATGAGGCATTATGTAGAATAAAAGGGGGTAAAGCAGCTGGAACTGACAGGATCATGACAGAAATGTTAAAAGCAGGGGGAGATATAGTGTTGGAGTGGTTGGTATTTTTGTTGAATAAATGTATGAAAGAGGGGAAGGTACCTAGGGATTGGCAGAGAGAATGTATAGTCCCTTTATATAAAGGGAAGGGGAACAAAAAGACTGTAAAAATTATAGAGGAATAAGTTTACTGAGTATACCAGGAAAAGTGTGCAGTAGGGTTATTATTGAAAGAATTAGAGATAAGACAGAATGTAGGATTGCGGATGAGCAAGGAGGTTTTAGAGTGGGTAGGGGATGTGTAGCTCAAGTGTTTACATTGAAGCATATATTTGAACAGTATTTAGATAAAGGTAGGGAAGTTTTTATTGCATTTATGGATTTAGAAAAGGCATATGATAGTGGATAGAGGAGCAATGTGGCAGATGTTGCAAGTACATGGAATAGGTGGTAAGTTACTAAATGCTGTAAAGAGTTTTTATGAGGATAGTGAGGCTCAGGTTAGGGTGTGTAGAAGAGAGGGAGACTACTTCTCGGTAAAAGTAGGTCTTAGACAGGGATGTGTAATGTCACTATGGTTGTTTAATATATTTATAGATGAAGCTGTAAAAGAAGTAAATGCTAGGGTGTTCAGGAGAGGGGTGGGATTAAATTATGGGGAATCAAATACAAAATGGGAATTGACACAGTTGCTTTTTGCTGATGATACTGTGATTATGGGAGATTCTAAAAAAAATTGCCAAGGTTAGTGGATGAGTTTGGGAGTGTGTGTAAACGTAGAAAGTTGAAAGTGAACATAGAAAAGAGTAAGGTGATGAGGGTATCAAATGATTTAGATAAAGAAAAATTGGATATCAAATTGGGGAGGAGGAGTATGGAAGAAGTGAATGTTTTCAGATACTTGGGAGCTGACGTGTCGGCGGATGGATTTATGAAGGATGAGGTTAATCATAGAATTGATGAGGGAAAAAAGGTGAGTGGTGCGTTGAGGTATATGTGGAGTCAAAAAACGTTATCTATGGAGGCAAAGAAGGGAATGTATGAAAGTATAGTAGTATCAACACTCTTATATGGGTGTGAAGCTTGGGTGGTAAATGCAGCAGCAAGGAGACGGTTAGAGGCAGTGGAGATGTCCTGTTTAAGGGCAATGTGTGGTGTAAATATTATGCAGAAAATTCGGAGTGTGGAAATTAGGAAAAGGTGTGGAGTTAATAAAAGTATTAGTCAGAGGGCAGAAGAGGGGTTTTGAGGTGGTTTGGTCATTTAGATTATTATTATAATCAAGGGGGAAGCGCTAAACCCGGAGGATTATACAGCGCCTGGGGGGGGATGTGGAAGGCATTCAGGCTTAATTCGGGGAACTGGAGCACAGATCCAATTCCCTAAATCAAGAGCCCCTCACCAACATCAAGGAACCTTCCTTGAGGGGAAAAGTGATGATGAAAGCTTTTTCTTTCCATTTGGGTCACCCTGCCTCGGTGGGAGATGGCAGACGTTAAAAAAAAAAAAAAAAAAATTCTTGAAATTTTGAACCTAATTGGATGAGGGGTTCTCGAGTTATGAGCAAAAGAAAAATAAATTATAAGAAAAAAATCAGGCAACCACTTCAAGATTCCCCCCATCAGGAATACCTAACAATACACACATACTTGCATGTATTTACTGTATGGTATTAACACTGCTTGAGGAATTCCCATACCAATACCCTAAGATCCAACTGAGGAAAATTAAATATTTTTTTTTAATTGTACAACTATAACAATTTATTTTTCTTTTTAACAGGTGATCCTTCATTAGTTTCCTGATTCAAGGGTTTCTTTAGCTTTTTCTTTTTCACAGGTGATTCTTCATTAGTTTCCTGATTCAAGGGTTTCTTTAGCTTTTTCTTTTTCACAGGTGATTCTTCATTAGTTTCCTGATTCAAGGGTTTCTTTAGCTTTTTCTTTTTCACAGGTGATTCTTCATTAGTTTCCTGATTCAAGGGTTTCTTTATTATTATTATTATTACAATCAAGGGGGAAGCGCTAAACCCGGAGGATTATACAGCGCCTGGGGGGGATGTGGAAGGCATTCAGGCTTAATTTGGGGAACTGGAGCACAGATCCAATTCCCTAAATCAAGAGCCCCTCACCAACATCAAGGAACCTTCCTTGAGGGGAAGGGTTTCTTTAGCTTTTTCTTTTTCACAGGTGATTCTTCATTAGTTTCCTGATTCAAGGGTTTCTTTAGCTTTTTCTTTTTCACAGGTGATTCTTCATTAGTTTCCTGATTCAAGGGTTCCTTTAGCTTTTTCTTTTTAATAGGTAGTCCATTAGTTTCCTGATTCAAGGGTTTCTTTAGCTTTTTCTTTTTAATAGGTAGTCCTTCGTTAGTTTCCTGATTCAAGGGTTTCTTTAGCTTTTTCTTTTTAATAGGTAGTCCTTCGTTAGTTTCCTGATTCAAGGGTTTCTTAAGCTTTTTCTTCTTTTTTTGTTTTACTGATTCTTCAGAAGAGCCATTTGCTTGTGTCTTATTCTCAAGCTCATAACCAACTGCCTTTTCTACATTAGACACTGGCATCTTTTGCTGAGGGAGGTAGATGTCCATACAGATGATACGACAAGAGGTATTCACTTCTCCCAATAGTTTTGGTGCAGAGGAAAGTGATAACAGCTGAAAAAAAAAAATACATATAATTCACAAACTTTAATCATCCCTCTTTTAAGTGCTATTCATTTGAGTATAAATCTAAATTATTTACTGTAAATAATGCTGTATAACCCTTGTGGGTTTAGCACTAAGTTTTGATTATAATAATAATAGTATATATCTGCAACTTCATTATAATTACGTTTGTAAAAACACATATGGGTGTGAAGCATGGGTTGTAAATGCTTCAGCAAGGAGGCTGGATGCAATGGAGATGTCATGTAAATATTATGCAGAAAATTCAAAGTGTGGAAATTAGGTGTGGAGTTACTAAAAGTATTACTCAGAGGGCCGAGGAGTTGAGGTGGTTTGGTCATTTAAAGAGGCTGGAGCAAAATAGGATAACTTGGAGGGTGTACAAATCTGTAGTGAAGGAGTGGATGGGTAGGCAATGTCCTAGAAAAGGATGGAGGGAGGGGGTAAAAAGAGGTTTAGTGAGCAAGGGACTTGGACATACAATAGGCATGTGTGAGCATGTTAGATAGAAGTGAATGGAGACAAATGTTTTTTGGGACTTGAGCTATTGGAGTGTGAGCAGAGTAATATTTTTTGAAAAGATTCAGGAAAACCAATTAGCTGGACTCGAATCCTGGAGGTGGGAAATACTACAATGCCTGCACTTTAAAGGAGGGGTTTGGGATACTGGCTGTTTGGAGTGACACCTGAACTGTCTTATTTGGGCACCTCTGCAAAGATAGTGATTGTGTGAATGATGGTGGAAGTGTTTCTTTTTTGGGTCACCCTGCCTCTGTGGGAGACAGCCGATGTGTTAAAAAAAAATAAGGGTGGCTTTTAGAAGCCTACACAGACTTGTACTGTATAAAACATATTTACCTCATATGTGCAACTCATTCCTGAATGTGCAGTTCCAAGGAGGAAATTATGCAGATTTGTATCAAAGCTGAGGGCAACGAGATATGAACAACATGAAAAATCAGGTCTTATTTCACCAATGTGCAAAGAGCAAGAGGGAATGTGATCACCACATATAAAATATTACAGGGCATAGACAGGGTAGACAAGGTACAACAAGAGGCCTTGGTGAAAATTAATGTTCAAATGACAAAGGGATATTAGAAGTATGGAAAACCCCTTAACTTATGAAGTTTGTGCATTCCAGAAAAATACTTATTAATTTATTTGGCACTAGGAACCTATTATTCTCAGAAACAATGTAACAATAATTAATGTGTTCCCAAGCTATAAATTAGTGGAAAAACTTTCTGGGCCTGCACTTTTAAATGAGATTATTCATCACATTATCTGGTAGTAGGGAATGTGGTAAGTGAATTGATTGTTTTAAAACCATATAAAGGCTACCCAACAAACAAAACACTGGTTCCTAAAGCTACCACTATAGTGTTACACAGCTACATACAAAAACAAAATAGAAGCTTCCTTAAATGAACATGCATGAGTGTTTTCAAGTGTTAAATCAATGTGACAAGACCTCAAAATGCTGATTGAAAACAAATCAAAAGTGGATGTGGGAAGAAGGTTGAAAGTAGGACAATAAGCAGCAGATAAATATTGAAGGGGCAGAACCTCTTCAAGGGGGGCTCTTTGATGTGGCGAAGAGGCTCTTGGTTTAAGGAATTAGACCCTTTGGTCTCCTTCCTAATTACCCCCCAATCCTCCCTTCCCTATCCCATCTACCCTTTTTCCTCCCCCCCCCTCCCAACTCTCCCTTTTCCTCATCCCTTTGTAGCCTCTGGGGTCCTTCCCTCTAGCATTACGGTTTCTAGTTAGGGAGAAGTTTGCCAGGGTTCATCTCACTCGGTGAGGTTCCTCGGGAGTGGTGTAGTTTGCAGTGGAATCTGGAGGGACCCTGCTCCCTTCCTCGATTTCTGAGAAGTGGGTGGGGTGTCCTGCAGGTGATGGGTGTATCTCCAGAGGCTGCCTGTCAGTTCTGGGAGGTGGCAGCCAAAGGAGGTATGCTTTATGACAGGTTTCCAACTGCCCTTTCTTTTTTCCGACGAGGTGGCTTGGTAGATGTGAGGTTGCTATCCCGGAGCGCTGGTTTACTGGCATGAAGGGTAGAGTATGGCACGAACTGCACGCTGCATCTGCACTGCTTGTGGGCTCGAGGTCCTCTCGGATGAGAGGAGGAACTTACGGCCCCTTCATGCCTTCTAGTGACTCCCTCTTTTTTTTTTCCCTTCTTTTTTTCTTTAAAATAATAAGAGAGAAGTACCACTATCATGGAATCTTTGTTCCATGATAACCCTTCTAGGCCCCTTTCTGTTCCCACATCCTGTTCCGACCTGACTTCCTTACTGGAAGATTCTTCAGACTTTTCCCATACCCCTGTACGTTCTGATGGTGATGCTTCATCACCTGCTACAGGTGCTGAGGCACTGCCTGTTTTTGCTAGTGCCTCTGCCTCTTGCACACCTTTAACTATGTGTCCGACTTCCCTGAATATGGTGCGACAGTTTTCAGGTCACCCACCCACCTTGGGCAGGGCCACCTGAGCTACTGCACCTAAACGTTCCAGACCATTTGCTGACGACGGTTCTCTGATGTCTGCTCATTCGACCCAAAAACAACCTACGTGACACCCACTTCCTTTACGCACCTTGTTTACAAGTACGCAGTGGACTAAATTCTTTTCCCTACAACCGACATCTCCAACTGATTATCTTTCTGACCATAGTATTGGTAAAACTCTTACGAAACGTTGGCCAAAATATATCCTTTCACGCTCTTCGACCTCTTCAAGGGGGGCTCCTTGGCGTGGTGAAGAGGCTCTTGGTCTGAGGAATTAGACCTATCGGTCTTCTTCCTCAGACTGAACCTAATTACCCCCCAATCTCCCCTCCCCTATCCCATCCTCCCCTTTTTCCTTTCCTCCTCCTCCTCCCCACTCCTCCCTTTTGCCTTTCCTCTTTTTGTCCTTTGGGATTTCTCCCACAGGCGCGCTAGTTCCTAGGTAGGAGAAAGGATACCGGGGTCCATCCCATTCCGTTGAGGTTCTTAGCGGTGGCGTAGTTTGCCGTGGAATCTGGATCGCCTGGGGATGTCCCGATCCCTCTCCGGTATCCTGGAGTAGCTTTAGGTGTCTTTCGGGCGACGAGTGTATCTCTGGAAGCCACCTTTCGGATTCCGGGGTTGGTGGCCGAAGGAGATGTGCTTTGTGGCGGATATCCGGCCGCCCTCTCTTTTGTCCACCGGGGTAGCTCGGCAGATGGGGGTTTGCTATCCCCGGATTGTTATTTTACTAGCATGAGGGTAGGGTATGGCACGGGTTCCATGCTGCATCTGCGCTACTTGCGGTGCTGAGGCCCCTTTTGGGGCGCGGAGGGAGATTTCTGGCCCTTTATTCCCCCTGGGACCTATCCCCCCCCGGGTCCCCCCTTTTTTTTTTTTTTTTTTTTTTTTTTTTTTCTTTCTTTTTTTTTAAAAAAAAAAAGAAAGAAGAAACCCTAACCTGGCACCCCTAACCCATAACCGGTCCCCCCGGGCCCCTTTTGATACCGCACCCCCTTTTGACCCCCCCCTGTTTTTGGGGACCGTTTTCGACTTTCCTCTGCCTCTTTCCTATTGCCGTTGCTGTTTCCTCACCCCTTCAGGTACTGAGGCTCGACTGACTCCTTCGATTTATCGGACTTCGCTCTCCCTGACTATGCCCCCGGCCTCCCCCTCTACGGTGCGGAAATTTTTCAAAATCCCCGACCCGTTCCACGGGGGACCAACTCGGGTCCCGCCTAAACGTCAACGACAATTACCTGTGGATACTTCCCCACCTTCTCGTTCTTCTCAGAAACATCGCACGTCCTTACTACCTTCCCCGCCAGTTTCAGACTGCATGGACAAATTTCTTCACTTTAGACCAACTTCCTCTTTGCCTATCTTTTTGACCTAGTTGGAAAGGCACCTAGCCTGTTTGGTAAAGATATTTCTTTTCATCCCAAAGAGGGGTACGCGCATCTTTTACCGTACAGAATGTACCCGGGCTCATACTCTTGTTTTTCCCCTATCGATACTTTTCCTGTCACTCTTAAAAAAACATCTTCCCCTCAATTCTTGTAGTGGTCCCGTATTTGCCCCATACCTGTTCAAAAAAAAAAATTTCCGACTGTGCACCGACATTCTAAACAGCGGGAACTCCAAGATTCCCCCAATCCTCAAGGTAGACATTACTTTTCCTCCCCGTGGGGGGAGACGATACCCTAGCAAGTGGCTCGTTTAATTTTTGACAGCCGAAACTCCCTCCTATTTAATAGCGGACATGGGTTTTCAAGTTCAAAAGGTGATCCCACACCACAACAGTGTAAAAATTTTTGCTGGGTTTGGGCCATCCAGCAAATTTTGCAGATATATGCCGAAATGCCCATCTGTGGTGCCGAGACCTTCTAATACGTTTGAAATCGATTCCCCTTGCCTTAACTGTCATGAGCTCCCCTTCGTACTCTCGCCGTTGTCAGGTCTTTTTTTAAAACAGGGGAAATCCGTTCCCTAAAGAGACAGAAGGTCCCCCCTTTTTCCCAGGGCGTTTCTCATCCCGCCTAAAGGGGACTCCACGTGTTTCTTTTCCCCCGTGTTTCAAAAACGCCCCCCTTTTCTGTTCCCATTTCTAAAACCCCCTCTGTGGTTACCTCTCCCAAAATCACCCCTGTATCTAACCCTTTTTGCTGCCTGGCTCGACGTCCTACTTTAAAACCGCCTCATTTAAATCCGTTTTTCGAGTTCTCTCTCACAACCCTCAGTATCGACGAGACCCGTACGACACCTCCCCCCAATCGTCCTCTACTTCTCAAAAGTAAAAAAAAAAGGCCCCGGTAACACCTCCTACCCATTTCCACCTCCTATTTTACCCTCCCGCTCTGCCCCTGTTTTTCCCCCTCTCACTGGCTCAGTTACAAGTGCAGAGGTTCACCTCCTCCTCGTAATGTCCTTCCCCCCCTGTTCCCCAATTTCCCTTTTGCCCCCTCCCGGGTTTCCCTCCCTCTTCTGCCCCCTGC